GGTAGTTTCAGTTCTGGCCCTGCTCACAAGTAGGCAGTGCAAAATGCTGGTTCTTTGCTAAGCCTTTAAATGCGTCAAAATCAGAACTTCTCTGATGGATGCTGGATGCCCAATTTGGGGGTCTGGGTTCTCTTCCAGGCTGATGTTCATAATCTGGGGAAGTTGTTCCTTTCTTCACTGTAGTTTATCTCTAAAAAAACGAAACAAAAAACTCCTGTAACATTTCATTTTCTTTGCTAGCTCAACATAACTGTCATGCTCTTCATAAAGTTCTCTGTCCTTTTAGAGTAATAATTTCACTGTTGTGCTGTCTCTTAGTGAATAGATTTGCTGCAGTAATCACCAGAATGCTTTATTTCCTGTTAAGATACAGGCAATGTGACTTAAAAATAGTTGACAGTATTGTGACAATTGGCTCCATGTACTTAACAAGCATCCAGCTATCAGCTATTTGGTCAACAGAACACCTGTTTTCTTCTGCTTGTCGTCCTGACTCTGGTGATTCTGCTGTGGGCAAAAGAAGTTTGGATCCCATCTGTATAAAATGGGTTTTGTAGATCTAACAGCAGCCCTCAAGTCTCTTTCTGGAGCTGCTGTTCTGAAGGGAAGGGCAGAAGAACACTCAAGGTGTCATCTGGGCTCCCTTTACTTGTCGACGTATGGGCTGGAGAACTGCTGAGTACAGAGTGATCCTGCTTGTCACCAATTCATGATTATGTGAATTAGGCAAATAAAATGTATGCCATGCTTTAATTAAAGCAGATTCTCTTTCAAACACAGAGAAATCCCTGCAATGTCCTGTTGCCATCTGGGATGACAGGCTGGGATAGGTCCTGTTTTTCATGCTCACCCAAGTGTACCTAGCTATAATTTTGACTATATTATAAAATTCAGAGCAGTCTCAGCATGTCCACACTTAAGGTTCCCATGCAGTCACTCGAGTCTAGTCTTTTTGGCTTTTGTAGGTCCCTTATTTGAACAAGCAGAACTGCTTCCTTGATGCCATAGTCATTGAAATCCTTCGGTGCCTTGACAAGCTGATCTCCTGTAATAAAAATACTGTCTAGATCAGGTATCCTAAGGACATGCTCCAGACTCATAAGGAAGGGAGCAATTGAGTGCATCTGAATCTACAGATCAATACTGTATTTTTCCAAAACCCTATGTGTTTCACGCTGATGAATTTGGCTGTCCAACTAATGCTATTTTACTTATGGCAAAGCCAAGTGGACCTTCCTGTAGGCAACTGCTGGTCAGAAGGAAATGAGCAGAAGGCAAATAGCATGCAAATGGATTTTAAAACTCAGAAGATGGCTAAAATGGACCTTGCTTAGGACTGACAGGAAAAAATAAAATAAAAATAAATAAATAAATAAAAAGATAACAGCGAAGTTGCAAAACTTTTTAGCTGTGTTACACACACACACAGAGGCTGCTAGGAGCCCTGGTCACATTTGGGTGACACAGCTCATAATCTCCGGGTCTGGCCCTGCTTTTGGCAGACTGCTCTGAAACCCTGAGCTCTGATCTCGCAGGGAGACGTGTGCGGCGACCACCCCTCACATGAGGCGGGAGAAGCCTTCTGAGATGGTCTGCAGCCTGTGACTGCCCTGCGCCCTCCAGCAGCAGGAGAGCCCTGCCCAGC